CAGCCATACAAAATTGTGATGGTTAGGATAAATGAATGAATGAAGAATTGGGAGGTGAGCTCACAATGAAGTATCATTGAAGAGATGTTGCTTGGCTGACTGGAGCTCTGCTGAGCATTAAGTAAGGGATGAGGCTATAGTTATTAAAAGGAAAACATGTAAAAAGTCATACTTTAAAGTGAAAAAATATTAAAAGTATTAAGAAGGGATAATATGGAAGAATGTTCTATGGAAGGTAGAGTTTTCAGGAAAGGGCATGTTGATCTAGAATACACACATACACATGTATGAGTTAACTCATTGAAAAAACCCTACTGCATTCAGATGATTATTTTGAAGGTCAGCTTCAGGAGGCCACACTCAACTACTGTAGTGCCGAGCTTGCATGTTTTCCATGTACTATAAATCAGCTGGGGACAAATGATTTAGTTGATTTTATTGGATATTGATTTCTTGTTACTTAAGTTGCTGTACTCCTCAGTAATAATTCATACTGAATATGGAGATATTCATTAAGCTTTTACAGAGAAGCATGTACTGATTAAAGTAACAATAAAGGAAGTTTGTTTTTTTAGTACATTTTAATTAATTAGTATTTATTTATTTTGATTAATGTTTATTCTGTTTTTACTGTAAACCGCCCAGAGTCACCCCACAGTGAGATGGGCGGTGACAGATTTGAAATATAAAATAAAATGTAAAATATAAATAAATTTTGAGCAGTGACAGTCAGCCTTTAAAATACTTTCAGCTCTGCATGTAGGGGATTGTACAACAAAACTTAGCAGTTTATAGTGCAAAACTATACAAAGCCTACCTGACTTTTGAATTCATAGTTCATGTTAACTAAGCACTCCCAACACTAATGCATGACAATACAGAACTTTTACTTTCAACACAAAACTAGCGTAGTTTTTTTTAGAAGATACGGCTTTTGGTTTAGTGTATTCCACATGACCTTATATTGGTTGTCAATCTCAGTTGTTTTGGATAACCTAGGCTTTGTGGCACCAAACTCTGATGGCATAAATGTTTGTTATTGTTATTGTTATTATTGCTCCAATTTTTGATACTACATTTTAAGGAGTTCATAGTTCATAGCTGAAGCTACACAGGTCTTGCTTTTTGGTGCAAGACCCACTTGACAGTTAGAAATACTGCAATGTCTATGAGATAATGGCTATTTAAAATTATCCCCTTGAATCAGAGTACAATACTACTAAATGAATAACTCATTAATGATAATAAATGGCCTGCTAAAAGCTGCATTAAACATCCCATCCTTCATAGGTGACAGCCAATAGCATTTATGTAGCAATATAATGACCTTGTAGTATTTGTGTTTGTAAATTAAATAGTGGTCTGACAAACACAGTACCACCTCCTATTGTAACCTAAGGTTAATTTCAATTTATCTTGATCCCTTGTTAATGTTTCTCCTAGTACTAGGGAATGCATTATCCCATTGTATATATTAATTTTCTTCCTAAAGAGTATTAATGGAAGGCAATTGGCAATTTGTAGAAATGGAGACTTTATAAGACCTAAATTTAGTAAAAAGGAAATGTACTTTATTAGCAATAAAGCTTGAAATTGATATTTTCATGCATGGATTTCACTGTATTTTTTACTTAATTTTCAATACTTATAGCCTGCCCCAATCCAAACAGACTCTGGGTGGGATACAACAAAGTCCAAAGAAGTATATTTAAAAAACCTATGTGGAAAATAAAAACAAATAATTTTTAAAAAGTCATCAGAGGCACTGTTCAATTAACCTAGGGGTCAAATGCCTGTTGGAATAGTGCTTGTTTTCAGAATACCTGTCAAGTAGGGGCCATCTGTATCTGCAGAGGGGAGAGTGTTCCATTAAATCGGGGTCACCACTGAGAAAGTAAGAAATGAGAACCAGCATGGAATAGTGGTTAAGGTGCTGGACTAGGACTAAGTTGGCCTAGGCTACCTTTAGCCATGGGTGACTTCGGGTAGTCATTCTTTCTCAGCCCAAACTCCTGACAGGATTGTTGTAGGGATAAAATGAAGAGAGATCCCTATGTAAGCCCCCCTGAGCTCCTGGAAGAAAGGTGGCATATACTGTATAACAAGTAAATTGAACTATTAGTATTAGGTAATAATTGGAGTTTGCTTTTATGTACCTATCACCTATTTCAAGCATAGCATGCAATTGGGGATGAAGATTGGATGGATGGATGGATGGATGGATGGATGGATGGATAATTGTACTTCTTAGACTGTGTTATACCAGAAAGATTTTGCATCACTTATAGAGAGGGATGCTGTTCATTCTGCAATTGTGTATCGTGAATTCAGATGTTTTGTGTACAGTATATGGAAGATTTTGTAAAAGCCTATTCTTTTAATAAAGTTATATCAAGAATGCACAATTTGCAGGCTGCAAGCAGCTGCTGGTAGGACTTGTTCTTGACCTTCTAATGACCTCCAAACTGCTTTTACTGGAGGAAAAGGGGAAGAGAGAAGCCGGGAATCACTGCTGTTTTGCCACTGCAGCCACTTGAGAGCACAGCTGTTTTCTCTTCCCCTGCTGATGAAAAAAGGGAAGCTTCATTGTTTCTCTTTTCTTTCTAGTGTGGACTGAAAATTGGAAGCATGTAAGAGAGACTACAGGTGTGGATGTGTGGTAGAAGAGGATATGTGACTTATGCTCACTGGTTGTGGAGGGGTTTGGATCTCTGAACCAGCATCTGCTGCAGCTCTAGATTTAAAATGTATCTGCTAGATTGGGCTCTGGCATGCAGTCAGGTTTAGGCACAAAGCAAGCTGCATGCATAGCAAATTAACATGTTTGTGCTGGTATGTGCAAGTCTCTCTAGCGAGTTCATGGCAAGAACTGGGAACATCCACATTTACATTTATATGCAGAAGGTGTCAGGATACTTATTTGATTAGTTGTTCATTTCACAAAAGCGGCAGCTTGTTTGCTTAAAGATCCTGCTTCAAATACCATCCTCTCTCATTTGTGGTACATGTCCCCATACGACTGATGCTTAAGAACGGTGTATATCGTGCAGCCGGTCATCTCACCTCCATTCATTTCACCTCCCTGCCCTTCCACTTCTCTGTGCCCTGCATGGGCAGACAGGATGCCTGCCTCCTGCTTCCTTCAGCTGGAGGATCGATCAGAGGCTTTTTCATTCAGTCTGACAATTGGGCCTCAGTATTAGCCTTTCACAGAACAGCAGGTGCAAGGGGAAGATCCTAACTCCGCTAACAGTAATCCCTGCACCACTTCCCACCTCCACAATACGGTCTGCTTGGCTGAAAGATGTTTTTGTTTGCTCTTCACAGTTGTTAATTCCTTTATACTGAAGTGACATGTCTTCCCAATCTTTCTGTACAGTGATTCCTCAGAAAAGATACTGTCTGATGTTCTCAAGCTACAGTTATTGCAAGCACCCTGCTCCAAAGAACAAGCCTGCTCTTGCAAAAATTGGGTAAGGAGAGCCACGACCTGCCTGTCAGTTGTCTTAATAATATGCAAAAACAACAGAAGAAAGTTCATAAAAACAAATGCATTGAATAAAGTGCACTAGATTTCATTAAATTATTAAACTTTAAAGTCAGTTTTCTTAACAGGGGAACTGATGTATATAAATGTGCATATATTTAATGGAATATGGGAAATTGAGTATATAAATGTGTATATGCAATCCAAAATTCTAAATAGTCCTTTAGACAGGGCTCCCATGAGTAAAATGCTAGTTCAAATACAGAAAGTGTTCTTAGTTTTTTGTATAACTGATGGAGAATGGACTGTCCATCCAGCCTTGCAATACCAAATATTTGGCACATCAGGTGTCTTACAAGATTGATGATCATTTGGCCAACTGTAGTTGCTATCAGAAGCAAATCAAAGAGCACAACTTGCCTCACATGGTTAGGATCAGCCTACTACTTTTGAAGCAACTTAATTACATGCTTTAGGCGAGACAACTAAAAGCTCCTTTGGGACATTAGATTGAACGATGTGCAGACAATATTCCAGCCATTTCTTTATTTAGGACTTTTCTATCTCACCTTTCTACAGTAGTATCAAAAACCATGATTTATATGTAGGTGTGTATTTTAGGTTGATAAAATTGTACCAATATAAATAGGTTAATTAGACAGTATCCTAAACACTAAGTTTGTGATCAGTTTGTGAAGTACAGAGAACTCACTAGATATTTTAAAAACAGATGAACGGGTCACTTTTATCTGCTAGTGATATATTCTGGAAGAGTGATTCAGAATCTTGAAGATTTTAGTGCTACACTAAATCATAAGCAAGGAACTCATTCATGCAATGGGCTACAAATTTAGCCTGTGAGCTAGCAAATTATCCAACATCAACCTGTACCTGAAAATGCATTTATAGGCCAAAGGACCTGCTGCATGATATTACATAAGACCAGGTGTAAAACAAAAAATACTAAGTACAGTAGATGACATTGTCAACTCCCTTTGTCCCTACTATCTTGAACACAATTATTATGATGGAGTATCATATGAAATATGGCACAGCTTAACCCAATCTATTTATACATTTATTTTAAAATTGGTTGCCCTATAATGAATAGTTTTCAGGATAATTACGAGAAAACCAGAAGTCAAACTTCATCTAAAAAGGTTTGAGTTAAATATATGAATATGCCATGTATCTCTTGTAAAGTAATACAATAATAGAAATATTGATTAATTTGACCTGATATAATTTCAAATGATAGTTGAAATTCCTCAGGGATTTAAGGTTTCAAAATCTGCCCAATATTCTAATAACTTTTAATGACTGTAAGATAATATTGAAGGCAGGGTTATTATAGCTAAAAAAAGAAACATTTTTTGCCTCCACGGGATGAAGGAGTAATCAAGCTTTTGTCTATGATGATGTCCTGTAAATAAGTATAGAAAGTTTTTAGCTGCCTCCTGCTGGAGGAAACAGAACATGTTAACAGTTGATGCATAAACAGAGAAACAATGTCTTTGTTTTATAATAGTTTATTAATACTAGTGAGCTTACAAAGCCACCAATTTACAAGCAATTTCCCCATGTTTTTACCACAGCCAAAGCAGCTTGAAAGAATAGAAAGTACCCTTTGTATAAAAAGATCAATATAGTCTTCCCAATGATGAAAACTCTCATAAGATTGATTAAAAACTTTTTAAAGAATTATGGTTTTCTCATACTCCAGGTACCATGTAGTAAGTTTTGGAACAAGGTTCTGGCTTGATTTGAATTATTAATAATCCCTTGCTTAATTGGTTATATTCATTACAGTAGTTCAATATGGGTGATAGAACTATGACATGATAACACTTCATGATCTTCAAGAAAAAGTGCTGTAACTGATTATTTGAGCTCAACATATAGGAGAAAGTTACACTATTGCATTTTAGAACCCCATTTCTACATTGAATAATTGCTTCTATGCTGCATATTTATTTTTTAATACTTTAAAAAGATGAAGCCAAAGTTCATAGGCTCACATGTAATCTGGAAAAACTGTAAATGGATTGTTATGGAATACGTGCCCAGATGATGAGGTCAGATGTGGACAACTTATTTAACAGAGTAGTGTACTAGAAACCTCATCTTCAAATATAATATTTCCCTTTAAAAATGTACAGCCTGTGAAATATACAATTGCTCTATTGTGATTCTCAAACGCATTCTGAAGTCAGGCACTGATTTCCAGAATGTAGAGTTAATTAAATCAAGTGGATTGCACTGCAATCAAAAGTAGTTTAGGTCAGGAACAACAATACTGTTTTATTTATAACTTGGTTAGAAGAAAAAGGAAAAATTGGATATGAGTATTTTAAAAAAAGTATATCCTGTGTTGTTGGTGCTCCTGAATTTGGAAAAATAATTAATTGCCAATTTTTTTCTCTAGTCAGACTGGCTGTCTTGTCATGGAGTTTTTGCACCACCTTCTTGAGCTTAATGCAGTTTACTCTTGCCTGTCCCATAGGTAGTCTGGCATGGCACACACTATTTGGTCCAATTCCCTACTTGTGATATCTTGTATTAATCAAGGGGAAACTTTAGAGAGACCCAACACTCTCCCAGTCAACAGCTGCCTCACATTTTAATTGCTTCTGGAGTGATAGATGGTGACACTGTAACATGAATCAAGCAGGAAATGGTAGTCCATCAAATAACTGAAAGCTTCATGTGGTGCTAATATATTTCAGTTAGCACTGAGACAGAATACACAGAAATACATACCTCACATTTTAACAATGTTTTAATAACAGCCTCTTTAATATTCAAAATATACTTAAAATTTCACAAAATCCAGTAATAAAAGATCTCCATGCAAAGTGCTAGCATTTTGGAAGTGGGATGCATTAGAACCCCACTTGCTATTTCCATTCATAAAAGTGACATGTTAGATGGAAAAATCTAGTCCAGTGATTCTTACATAAGTAATGTTTCAAACTGGATGAAGTCTCAATCCTCTACAATAAGACTTGATGGCAGCTATTCACATCTTCTACTTGAACTGTCTATTCTGCTCCACTGTAACTGTAACTGTCACGTGTTCTTAAACAAATTTAGCAGCATAATAATAAAAAAAAAGACAAATGGAGGTGGGTATCCTGGTATCAGATGCAGAACAAGAGTTGTACATTGTTGAAGGTTTAAAAAGAAAAGGCCTCTTGGTTTGAATTCTTCTTTACACCAGTCTTATTAATTAAATGCAGCGTTAAATGACCGACCAATAATTATTCTTCGCACCTCACTAGTCCCTGCTCCAATTTCATACAGTTTGGCATCACGTAAAAAACGTCCCATGGGATAATCATTGATGTAGCCATTTCCCCCTGAAATACAAGGAAAAGATCTAAATGTTAAATGAGGGACAGAAATCCTAAAGGTAGGTTAAAAGTATGTATGTGCGGAGAGAGCTTGCAGGCTAATTAGTGTTACATTCATTTGAAAAGAAATGAAAATTCTAAGATATACAGGGGTAATCAGTATATGATAACAAGGAAATAAGCTATATAATGCCATGCAAACTTTTAAGACAGTTTGTCTCCTAGTGGAACAGTCACAGGTATCTCCGCTCTTACCCAAACACTGGATTCCATCCAAAGCAACTTGAGTAGCACATTCTGCAGAATAGAGGATCACTCCTGCACAGTCCTGAAGAAGAAGAAAAGATCACTTGCACTGAAATAGAAGGATGCTCAGCAATTCTAATTGCAAAATAAACCAGCAGAATTGCATATGTATTTTCATGTCCCACTATACATTTAAATATATATAACCATTATAGAAGAATTCATTTTTTTCTTATGAGAGAACTGTTATACATCTGCACTTCCAGAGGAAGAAATGGTGGACTGAAGATGGCTCCACAAAAAACGGAACCTATGACTGTGGCGAAGAACGAAGAACCGATGAGTAGACTGGCTTTTCGAACATCTCTGGAAAAAGAGGACAGGAGATCGCTCACAAGTGCTCCAGACAGTTGCTCCTTGTGAGGAGACCACAAGACAGTGGTCTCTAGTGGTTTTTAAGCACTAGGAGATGAGGCAATAGCCATCTTGCTCAAACTGTGGTCAGCACTTTTAAAAGGACACTACATTCACATACTTCCTTTTCTAATCACATTTGGAAATTGCTCATTAACTACTTTTCAGCTATTAGAAATCTTTGGATCAACAAGTCTGAAAACACCGAGTGAGTCTGCCTTCAATCCTTAATGAAAGAAAAATTTAACTACAAGCTTAAGAATGTTAAAATGTTTGAAAAAAGCTAATTACAACTTTGATTTTAGAAAGTTATAAACAGATTAAGGGTCCAGATAAATTTGAGATAAGATTTTGGAATTAATTATAAAGAATCCTTCCCATCGGAAAGTTGATTTGTTTTGATTTTTTCTAAGATATAAAAGTGATAATTTTAAAAATTGGACACTAAAACAAACCAAAGATTTTAATTAAGGCAGAATACATAAACCTTATTAACAGCTACAGAATGATGCAACATATTATAACACTGGAAATACTGAAGGATACTTTTAAAAAATGGAATCAGAAGTTAATATCAACAGTGTCAATAGTGATGCTTGCTTCTATCAATAGTCTATGTCCAAAAGATGTTTTGGAAGAAATGGTAGAAGAGGAACAAGTTTTATCTGACAACACAGAGACTGAATTGACACTGAAAGTGAATCTACAAATGACAGGCTACAAGAATGACATGGAAAAAGATGTTTCATTGGATATACAAAAGAAACTAGTTGATGCTTTAAAAATCAAAAGGGAATTACAAATAATAAACCAAGAGAGTGACCTGAATAATTCTTTTATATTGGATTTACAAAAGATATTTGTTAAGGCTTGGATGAATCTTGTGAGAAGAGTAAAAAAGAAATGAAATCAGGTTCTATAACATTACTTGAATGGACTAAAGATTGTTAGATGTAAAAAGAAGGAATATAAAGTTGGTTTATTTGATCAAGGTTAAAATAGATATGTTGTTATTTCTGGCAACTCTTAAGGGACTTTTGCTGACACCAGGACTGAAATGACGATGCTTTATGGATTTGTTTATAGATAACAGATGGGACATGGGATGAAGAGATAACAGGTTGTAAATTAAGAGGAAGTGAAAAGTTACTAAAATTGTTTATATTCGTGATGAAGGTTGGAAGTCACTTCTTTATATATTTCTTTCCTTTTTCTTTACTATATTCTTTCTTTTCTCTACTTTTTTTCCTCTTCCTTTGCACTTTTTTTTTACTCTTTCTTTCTACTCCTTTCGTTCTTTTTGTTTGTATTAGTTTTTACTATTGCAATTATAATCTTTAATAAAATTATTTTTTTAAAAAAAGAACTGTTATACATCTGTACCCCTTCATGGATCACTGCCTTGTCGTGGCGAAGGGGCTTGCGTAACTCAGTGAAGC